ATTTTCCCTCTAGAAAAGAATCAACTGAATTCTTTATTTTTTTTATATTGGTAGAAATGTGGTGGCAAACTGAAATTAAAATAAGTAAAGGAAATACACATTAGTATTTTTAGGTCAATGTACACAATGATAAAATTGGAACAGAATCAAAGTTTTAAACAGGCATAATTTCCTTTCAAATAGCAATACTTTCATGTGAAATTACTGAATAAGTAGGCAATAGTCTGTGAAAAACTGTATTCATTTTCTAGTATCCTGCACAAGTATATCTAACACTAGATATGTTTCTGGATGTTTCCTAATACAGTTAACAAATTCACATCATAAAATGTCATGTAATAATAAAATATCCTTCCCAATAGATGTTCTAGAAAGTGGCTTAAGTCCATGTCTGCATACATATATGGAGCATTCTTACCTGTATTAATTTTAGAAAATAGAGCAGAAAAATAAATAATAGTAAGTGCTTTATCTTTAGTATTGAACTTTAAGATTAATATTTGAATAGGAACATTACTATGTTAAATTACACAAGAGAACAAACAATTTATGCTTTCAAAAATTTAATGCACCCATCTCAATCATGTTTGCTCCAAAGGTACAAGAATACCAAGCAGAAATTTCCTGAAGATCACGTTAATAGTCCTTGGGTCATTTCTGTGTCCTCTGGCACCAGAAAACACTGACTGAGCTATAACAAGTGTTTCTGGATCTCAATGCTTCTTCCCTTTGGTAGCTCCTCTCTTAGTTCTGTTATCTTGTTTTCAATTTTTTATTTATATTTCTAGACACAGAATTATTTTTCAGGAAAAGTGAATTGATGTGTAACCTGCAGAAAGATCTAGAACACTGATCAATAATACAAGTTGAAGCTCTTTCTGATAATGCCAATGGAAGGGTCCTGGACCAGAAAGGGGGCAAAACAAGCCTTAGAAAGAAAACTATCATCTTATCTTTTAAAGCGCCAACTAAGATGAACCAAATTTCAGGTTCTAGTCCTAGGAATTTACCTAAGAGAAGAAATATAAAAACAAATCAAATAACACCTTAAAAGTGCTACATCAGAATGCTGTGCCGGGTACAATTGGGGCACAAAGGAGAAAGTGATGAATTCTACTCATGGTGTCAGTAAGAATTCCATAAAGAAGATTAACATCTGGACTGAACAAGGTCTTCAAAATTAGTAGATATCCCCCAATCTGTGTGTTGTGGAAAGGCGGTGGAGAAGCAGTCTAACTGAAACAGCATGAACAAAGGTAAAGAGGCTGAACTAGCACACATGTTAAGGGAATTACAGTTGAGTATGACTTTCACTGAATGGGAGGAGTTAGAAGTAACAGTAGAAAGGAAGGATGAAGTCATATCATGAAAAACATTTCTCATGCTGAGAAGTTTGGCCTTCATCCTGTAAGTACAGAAGAACCCTTCAAGGAGTGACATGGTCTTCTAGAGAAGTAATTCTGATATTATTAGAAGAAAAGGGCAAAACTAAAGGGGAAACAATAGTTGAGCTATTATAGTGATCCGGAGGAGAGATGATAGGAGGTCTGCAATGACGCTGTACCAAAGGGAACATGAAGGGTATCTGTGACGTGCTAAAGACATGACTGCTAATGGAATGTGGAAGAGAGAAAAGATGACTTTCAGGTTTCTGGTGGGAGGTTGTGAGGGGGTTCATTCACCACAAGGGAAACTAATGAAGGAAGAAAAAATCTGGAGATCAGTAAAATGTTTTATTTGAATATGTTGATTTTGAAGTGCCTCATGGGTTATTTAGGTAGAGAACTCATTTAAGGAGTATACAGAGAAAAAAGAACCACTAACTCTATCAACAAGAAACAATTAGAGGAGAAAAGAAAATAGAGACAGGACTACCAATGAAGTAAAAAAAGAGAAGCTTCAAGTAACATTCAATGTTCAGTCCTACAGAGAAGATAACTAAGATGAAGACTGAAAAAAGTTTTTTTGGTTAATTTGTTTTGATTAGGCAACTGGATCAGCAATGCTATTGTAGTTCCCAAAATAAGTAGCTACTGGAGTCTCACTGAGGTAGATTTAACGAAGAATAGGAGAGAACTTTGGATAGTAAGAAGAATGGCAGCAACCTACATCTTTGTCTTCCCATATCCCCCAGAAACAATACAGAACAACAAGGACACATTTATACAGAAACCATACCCTCAGCCTAAGGGGAATCTAGACGTATTCTAACTTCAAATTACTTGTAACTGAAATTACCGAAGTGAGTGATCTCTTATGTTCCTACCACAGGCCTTTGAAGCAAAGACAGCCCAAGAAAAACTGAGCAGAGTGAAAAAAAAAAAAAAGGAGCCTGCAATAGGCCTGAAATTAGTCTAAAATCACAGTAGAAACAGAAATTCTAATCTAGGAGGACAAAATGAGTATGTGAGATGCCCTTTGGTAACCTGGGTGGTAGAGAGAAGCAAAAACAGAAAACTCAAGAGTCCGACAAACAAAAACAAAGCGAACAAAAAAACACAGCACACAGCATCCCTTTCCCCACTACAAAATTTACAAAATCCATTAAAGCAACTGGACTTTCCTATACTGACAGAGAGAGTGCTTTTCACAGGGAAATTTGTAATCACCCCAAATCCAAATAATTAATGGGAAATGAATAAATCTCTATAATGGTAGTATAGGAAATCAGAAGATAGTAACACACATCAATGATGAAAATTTTCTACAAAAAGAAAAACTATCACACAAAAGAAAACTGTAACACATCAAACTTTATTAAAACACACAAGCATTTGGGGATATGAAAAAGCAATCTTAATTGGAAATTCAAAAAATTAAAAACACATAAGCAAAACCAGGAATAAACAGATGATTAAATTGAAAAAATAAATGGAAAAAAAGACAATCATAAAAGAAATGAAGATTAAATTATAAGATACACAAGGAGAACAGACTAAATGAAAACTTAACAGGCATTGAAGAAATGCAGAAAAACATGCCAGAGAATAAATATGTGGGAGGAAAAAGGAAAAAGGATCAAAGAATGAAATGGAAGATAGACCGAAGAGATAAACCACATATAATTGGAGTCTCTGAAGACAACAAAAACAATGTAACAGAACTGATATTAAAACCATAGTACATGAAAACGTAACAGAAAAAAGATCTGAATCTACATTTTGAAAGAGATCTTGTAATGAGAAATGTCAACTCTGAGACATCCTGGTAAAACTTCCAGACTTGAAATTTTTTAAAAATCCACAAGGATTCCAGTTTATGCCATCAATAAGTTGTAAGGATAAGAGAAATTAGACTGGCATCAGACTTCTCAAGTATATAAAAATAAAAAGCAAGGGCAATCAATGAAACAGCATTTTCAAAAACCTGAAAAAGTATGAATTAAGGATTTTATATTCACCATGCCATCTTTCAAGTACCAATACTATAGAAGAACATCTATAAACATAAAAACTTAGAGAATTATGCATCCATGAGCCATTCACAAGGAATCTATTAATGAATGAGCTATACTCAAAAACAATAACAAAAAAATGCTGAGTATTTATTTACTATGCTTAATAGTAGTTTTAAGACTAAACAGATAGTAGGGATCAGAGTGTAAAACCAATATATAAAGATTATATGTTATGATTGGGTAGAAATAACACAAGTAAAAAATGGAGCAGAAAGAAGAAAATGCAATAAGCTCACTGTTACATAGGCAATAGGTATGAATTAAGGAATTAAAAACCCAATAAATCAGATAATAGACATATAAATTATAAGATACACAAGGAGAACAGACTAAATGAAAACTTAACAGGCATTGAAGAAATGCAGAAAAACATGCCAGAGAATAAATATGTGGGAGGAAAAAGGAAAAAGGATCAAAGAATGAAATGGAAGATAGACCGAAGAGATAAACCACATATAATTGGAGTCTCTGAAGACAACAAAAACAACGTAACAGAACTGATATTAAAACCATAGTACATGAAAACGTAACAGAAAAAAGATCTGAATCTACATTTTGAAAGAGATCTTGTAATGAGAAATGTCAACTCTGAGACATCCTGGTAAAACTTCCAGACTTGAAATTTTTTAAAAATCCACAAGGATTCCAGTTTATGCCATCAATAAGTTGTAAGGATAAGAGAAATTAGACTGGCATCAGACTTCTCAAGTATATAAAAATAAAAAGCAAGGGCAATCAATGAAACAGCATTTTCAAAAACCTGAAAAAGTATGAATTAAGGATTTTATATTCACCATGCCATCTTTCAAGTACCAATACTATAGAAGAACATCTATAAACATAAAAACTTAGAGAATTATGCATCCATGAGCCATTCACAAGGAATCTATTAATGAATGAGCTATACTCAAAAACAATAACAAAAAAATGCTGAGTATTTATTTACTATGCTTAATAGTAGTTTTAAGACTAAACAGATAGTAGGGATCAGAGTGTAAAACCAATATATAAAGATTATATGTTATGATTGGGTAGAAATAACACAAGTAAAAAATGGAGCAGAAAGAAGAAAATGCAATAAGCTCACTGTTACATAGGCAATAGGTATGAATTAAGGAATTAAAAACCCAATAAATCAGATAATAGACATATAAATAAGAAAATAGGGGATAAAGTATAAGTACAATAGTAACCACTAAAATAAAAATTCAAACCTTCCTAAATATAAGTAAACATTTTAAAATAAAGTAGCAAATAATGCAATTACAGAGAAATAAACAAAGCAAATGTAATAATTATAAAATTTGTGACAGACTTAAAACCAGTCATATTAATAAATATTAATGGGGTTAGTCATCTATTAAAAGTTCATTGTGGCTCTCAAAGCAAGATCAATGTTATGCTGCATATAAGAAACAGAGTGATTTAAGAAGGTTAAAAATATGGAACTGACAATGGAATACCAAGTCAATGAAAAAAAAAAAAAAGGAGGGGTACCAATCTAGGTATCAGGCAAAATATAATCCAAACCAAAAAGCATAAATGTGGCAAAGACCCTTTTTAATGCAAAAACCAGAATTTTACAATAAAGACATAACACATATGGATATGTATGTACCAAATAACACTGCACCATCATATTGTAAAGCAAAAAACTACAGGATATACAGGCAAAGATAGAAATGCACTATAATAGGAAAATTAACAAGCAAAACAAAGTGAAAGACAGAATTAGACAAAAAGTGAGTATGCATATAAAAAACCTAAACAACATAATCAATTAGACCTTATGACTATAAATCAAATTTTACATCCTGATAATAGACTGTACACCTTAAATGCATAGGCCATTTACAAAAATTGATCAGATACAAGGTCACAAAGTTCCATAAAGTAGAAATATTACCAGAAAGAATTCTTTAACACAACCAAGTAATATCAGAAATTATTAACAAACTCAAAATGCAACAATTATCTTCAATTGAAACTAATAAACATTATTTCAAATAATCCTTAGATAAAATGAGAAATGTAAACTAAAAGTAAAAATTTGTAAGAATTATAACAAAAATACTTTCTATCAGAATCTATGAAATGTAGTTAATCAGAAAAATATCAATAAAAGAATGAGAATACATGAATTAAATTTAAAAACTAGAAGCTTTTGTAAGATTTATATCAATGATACCTTAATAAAAAATAAGGAACATACCAAAAAAAAACTTAAAACTAAGGTTTTGATGAGTTTATTAAATTTTCATAATTGTCACTAATATCCCCAAGTCTGAAAAGAAACAGTCATGTCATTTTCCTCTTATTTGCCTGCTTTTTCTTATTAAGAAAACAGTGGAAATGGCTGAAGGTTAATGGGCTAACCTAGGACAAAGTGAACAGTGGAGCAGACTTTTGAAGTGAATGCTCCAGTGCTACAAATGGAATTGGGAAGTGTTAGAAAAAGCATAAAACCTAAATGTGATTTATTCCCACCAGGAGGTTTAAACATTTTAACAGTAAGGTATTAAAGGGGCATCTGGTGGAAAATATGCCAGGAAGCTGCTCAAGCTGAGAGTGGGGTTTGGAGTGGGTGGGTGATTGGTAAGGGCCTGGTTATACCTGTTTGAGTTTTTTAAACCTACCAACAAAATTGAGACAAATGTAAGAGAAGGCCCAATTTGGATATAATTGGCTTAGGCGACATCCGGGAAAGAATGTCTATAGTACTCAGCCAGTGAGGAACCAGGGGAGGGACTCAAGTGCTAGGGAATAAATTACTTGCACCAATGGCCTCAGGTGTGCCTCCTCACCAGACACCTGATGTTGCAAGACTGTCATTTAAGCCTCGCTTCGCTGTTCTCTTTGCCTGCATGTCCACTTACTGAGTTTGGATCAGTGAGTGTGTTTCTCACAGAAGTAACTTAAATCCCACAGATCTTCCCCAATGGGAATGGGAAAGATTCCTAACTAGATAATAAGAACTCTGACACAGAATATTTAATATCTCAGAGAAAGGTGACAGAGTTCAACAATTCTAACAAAACAAACAATCTCAACCACCCTCCACTCACCATGGTTCCCCACAATTTCCTAAGCTACAAGAATATGATTTACCTAGGCCTCAAACTACAGAGAGAAGTCTAGCAAAGACCTCCAAGCATGAGCAAGACAAAAAGAAACATCCTGGCTGCTCTGCATACACACGGTGGCAAAATATTAGTAAAAGAATAAATGTACAAATGAGCTGAATAATGCATGCAAACTACAAAGAGCATGATTAAAAGAAAACTCTGCAAAAGAAATTTCTATATGTTGCTTCTTGAAGAACTTGATAAAAATCTGAATATAAAAAAAAGCTCAAAAACAATGATTTAAAATAAAAGAACATGGAGATCACTGAGCTACAAAAAATGAGCAAACAAAATAAAAATGAGCATACAGCATTGCTACAGAATCAGTAAATAAACTAGAAACAGCAGGAAACAGAATAGGCAAGGCTGAAAAAAAATCAAACTTGTTTTATGTCCATTTACTCAGGTGACACCAAATGTAAATTTTGATCAACTCAAAGGAATGCAGAGTACTGAAAAGAGCAAATATTTGAATAAATATCCTCATTTAAAAAAATCTCTTTAAATAAAATTAGGTGTTTAAAGCAAAAATAATTACAAGGTATCTGTGAATTATAACAGATAAGAAGTAAAAAGTAGGATAACAAAGGACAAGATGGGAGAAATGAAAGAATAATGTTTCAACGTTATTAAATGTGGTGTGCCATTTTTTGGTGGACCAACTCTGGGTGGCCTCCACCCTCTTCTGATCCTGGGCACTTCCTCTGTGCTCCCATGGCCTTGAGTGTGGACATGACCTGTGACATACTTCTAACCAACAGTATATGGCAACAGAGTAGGTGATTATGTGACTGCGTCATGTAAGACTTCACAGGCAATCTTGCTGGAATTTCCTTCTCCTTTGCTGGCTGTGAGGGATTAAGCAGCTACGTTGGGGAGCCCATGTGGTAAGGAACTGCTGGTACCTGAAGGTTGCCTGCGGCCAAAGACCAGCAAAAAACCAATGCTTTAAGTCCTACTTGCGAAGAACTGAGATCTACAAAGAACCATGTTAAGTGCAGAAATGGATCTTTTCCCAGTTCAGCCCCGAGATGAGAACTCTGTCCTGGCTGACACCTTGATTGCAGCCTGGTGAGACCTTAGGCAGAGGACCCAGTCAAGCTATGCCTGTATTCCTGACCCACAGAGGCTGTTAGATAATAAATGTGTGTAGGTTTAAGCTGCTGAGTTTGTGGTAATTTGCTCTGCAATAAAAAAAATATTATTCATATGATGTTTATTAGGTTTAAATCTATCACCTATTTGTTTTCTGTTTGTCCCATCTGTACCTTGTTTCTCTTTTCTTTTTCTATGTTTCTTCCATTTTATCTTCTTTGTTGGTTGACTGCTATAAAACTTCATTTGCTTGCTTTTCATCTTAGGGTCTACTTTAGAGTTCAGAATTATACATTTTCATCACAGTCTATGTTCAAGTTATATTAAACACTTCTGGTATAGGGTAACAACCTTATAATAGTATACTTCTATTTTGCCCCTTCCCAATTTTGCACTATTATTGTCATTTATTTTGCTTTTACATATGTTATAAACCTCACACTACTTTTTTTTGCTTAAACAATAAAGAGATTTGGAGAGGAGAAAAAAAATCTTTTGTTTACCCATGTAAGCCTTTTCAGTGCCTAACTTTGCATGCCTGGTAGTTTCTGACTGGACGACAGACACTTTGAAATTTATGTTGTGACTATGTAGGAAAGGACCCCCCCCCCCCAACTTCCCCTACTGTTCTATGATAGCTGCCCTTGGCTTCACCACAGATGTCTGTCTGTCCTTAAGAAACCTCTTGTACCCGTGGGAAAGGAGCTAAATAAGGGCCTTGAAGGCCAGATGCCTGGCCATGAAGACCACACACATGCGCACCTTAGAACACTTATGTAACCATGAAGTAGCAGTATAGCAGTATAAGAAGTACAGCTGTGTGCAGAATAAAGTGGCCTGTTTGAGCACCATCCATGATGACACCTGCTGCCTTCTCTGCTCTTCACATTGCCCCAAAACCTCAGAGGCAACCCCCAGACCCCGACACTTGGCACTGTGAGCAAGATGAGGTACATGGTTGGGAGAGCAACAGTCGTTCGACTCCCCTGGACACGGAGGGGTGGGTGGAGGAAATGTGACCCCGGGCCTCTATTTTGGTACCTGGTGGCAACGCTCTTGACCGCTTAGCCGGCACTGGAGAATTGGGAGTCTATACAGCTGACTTCAAAGGTTATACAGATGGCATTGGAAATGCTAGAGTCCCTAGTCCCTCAGACCCACAGGGAATCGGCTGGGCAAGGGGCATGAATGTTCCTCACGGTCATCCGCCATGCTGCTCGCAAAACTGTGGAGTTGCAGTAGCGAGTGCAGAGTCTCCACCGGAAGGAGGAGGACTTTGAGCAACGACTGGTAGCTCCCAAATGTATGTTATAGATCAACTGCCCTATACTCGTCGGGGGCAGGAGGCCCAGAGTGCAGCGCAGCATCATTGGTTTGCATGCTGCTCCACTGTGCGGCCACCTGGGGGGATGCAGGAACCTGTAGCCACAAGAGGGCAGCCGGGTGACCCCCAGACAGCTACCCAGAAAACGAAGTACACAGCCATGGAATTGCAGAATTTGGCCAGGCAGGGTACGCAACATTTGGGGGAACCTGTGCCTGCCTGGCTGTTCTGACTGAGATGAGGGCGCTGAGAACACAATGTGTGTCAGCTTTAGCTCACTTGGGAGACGTATGAGTAGAGCGACCTGAAGAAACCAAAGTGATAACTACTGCAGTAAATAAAGTAGCACAAGGAGAAAATAAATAAAAGAGCCACGGCGAAAACGGCGCCAGGGGTGGCTGCGGTAGGACCGCTGAAAGTGAGCCGCAGACAGGTACGGACTTACATTTTGGCTGCTGGATTGGCTCGTGAAAAGCTTGATGGACAGCCTTTAGAGGTCTTGATGGGACTATCGGAGCAGTAGCGTCCAGACCAACGCTATCGCCCACTGCCCCCAAAGCAGGTGCAGGAGAGCGCTGTGGCGGACCATGAACCCGCGCCCCAAGCACTGACTTCCTCCCTGGCTAGGGGTGGGGCCGAGGTACCTGGTATACTGGGACACCGCAGGACCAGAGGCCATTTGTTGAACTTGCCATTCACTGGTCCCCACAGAATGTATAGGGAGTGTTGGCATGGGTGGATATGGGTGCTAACTCCACCCTCCTTCATGGCAACCCGGATAGATTCCGGGGCCCCTTTGCAGTCATATGGCGAGTGCAGGTGCGGCAAGTGACTGTGACTCTGAGAATTGGGCACCTTCCCCCACATCAGTATGCGGTTTATGTACCTCTGATAGTGGAATACATTCTAGGGGTGGATGTGCTACACTGTCTAACAATGCAAATAAAATGACTCTGGGAGAGTTTCACTTGTGTGTGTGTGTGTTGTGAAAACAGTGCGGCAAGGTCATCCACACCACACACCTTTAGTGTTGCCACAAGCCACCCGCCCAGTGAACCAGTGAACGTTAAACAATACCGGCTGCCTGGTGGACAGGAGGAAATCAGCCAAACCATTTTGCAGTTAGAGGAAGTAAACATCATCCGCCCAGCACACAGACCTTTTATTCACCCATGTGGCCTGACGGCACTTTGAGAATGACAGTGGACTATCGGGAACTAAATAAAGTGACTCCCCTGCTGCACGCTGCAGTACCAAACATTACTGACCTGATGGATGAACTGACTGTGACTTTGGGAACTTATACTTTGTGTTGGATCTGGCTAATGCCTTCTTTTCCATTGACATTGCACCAGAAAGCCAGGAACAGTTAGTTTGCCTTCACGTGGGAGAGCAGGCAGTGGACATTCACTGTCCTCCCACAAGGATACCTGCACAGTCCTACTTTGTGTCATGGCTTGGTGGCTAGTAACCTGGCCACCTGGTTCCATCCACCCTCGGTTCAAGTGTTCCATTATATAGATGATATAATGTTGACTTCTGATTCTCTCCAAGATCTAGAAGCTGTGGCTCACAATTTGCACCAGGCCCTCCGGGGGTGGGGATAGGCCAACAAAGACCAGGTGCAGAGACCTGGTTACTCTGTCATGTTCTTGGGTGTTGTCTAGTCGGGTAAGACAAAGTGTTACCTGAAGCAGTGATTGATAAAATACAACAGTACCCCCACCCAGAAACTGTTAAGCAGCTACAAACATATGTGAGCTTGTTGGGGTATTAGAGAACGTTTATCCCTCACTTAGCCGTGCTGGTGAAGCCACTGCATCGCCTTATAAAGTGAGGGGAAGCATGGGACTGGACGCCAGAGGTAGAAAAGGCTTTTGCAGAGACAAAAAGAGCAGTGGCTCAGGCCCAGGCGCTGCAAGTCACTGACCCCTCCACACCGTTCCTGCTGACAGTGTCTGCCAGCACAGATGGGTGCAGGTGGGGATTATGGCAGAATCAAGAGGTCCGCCAAGTCCCAACAGGATTTTGGTCTCAGTTGTGGAAGGGCGCTGAGAATCACTATTTGCTGTTGGAGAAACAGCTGGCAACAGTGTATGCTGCCTTACTGGCTACTGAAGGAATCATGGGAACACAAGCAGTCTCCTTGTCTGTTGCTGTTCTTTAGATTGTTTCTGTGGGCTCTGGGCACAGGGCTCTGCTTTGTGTGCAAGAAAGAAGCAGGCGGCTGCTGTCCTATAGAAAGGAGTGGGATGTAGGGAAGATTCCCCCTCCCCACTGTTCTATGAGGACAGCTGCCACTGCTTCACCCCATATCTGCTTCAAGGCCAGATATGTCTGGCCTTGAGAAACCTGTTGTACCCATGGGAAAGGAGCTAGATAAGGGCCTTGAAGGCCAGATGCCTGGTCATGAAGGCCACAGGCATGCACATCTTAAAACGCTTATGTAACCATGAATTAGCAGTATAGCAGTATAAGAAGCACAGCTTTGTGCAGAATAAAGTGGCCTCCTTGAGCACCCTTCTTTGCTCTTTGCGTTGCCCCAAAACCTCAAATGCAACCCCTGGACCCTGACAGACCACTGAATATATTTTTATTCCTATAAATATTCTGAAGTTTTATCCTGGGATGTAGTTAAGTTACATGGAAACAGTTCAATTCTTTTGCCTCTTACTTTTAAGTTTCGTTTGTCTAGACTGGAATAGTGCTAAGTCTTGAGACAATTATGCTGCAATACACACTACTGTTCTGTGTACTCTACCCAATTTCGGTCAATCTTGAAATTTTCTATTCTAGCTAGTGGGAAAGTTTACCTCTAATCCTCTCAGGTAGGTCAATCTTTGCCTGGCCTTGGGTAGTCTCCTCTCATGCTAATCAGTGCACAGAAACTTGACCCTGAGCATCTCTAGAGCTACCTTTCTGCCCAGCAATGTCCTCTCTAGTGACCTGCCATCCTGGTCTCCCCAGACTCACAGTCTATTCCCTCAATTTGGTAAGTGCAACTAAGCTTTCCTTGGATTCCCCACCTTGTACCACAAGATGGGAACTCTCAAGGCAGAAAGATAAGGAATTGCAGGGCTTATCTTAATTTGTTTCCCATCTCTTAGGGATCATTAAATTTTCTTGCATTACAGCCCATCATTTGGAACCATCATTTCATATATATTGTCTATTTTTTGGTTGTTTTAAACAGGAAGACAATGTGGTTACTTTGTCTGGACTGAAAGCATTAAGTCTTGAGCTATTTCTTATAAAAAGAAAGGCTCACTCTGTGCTGAACCAAGAGTACACAGGGCAGAGCAAGAAGCCCCCCAGAGTCATTCTCTAGAAGCAGGCCTGCAGCCCTTATCAAGCAATGGGCAACATGTGCACAACTTAATTTTAGAATTACCAGTAAAGAATGACTACAATGTGCATCAAGTTGTCTGCCTTTTTCAATGAATGCACCTGCTGCAGTTATTGTATTCTTTTCTTACTATTTTATGTGTGGGGTGTGTTGTGTATGTATATGTATGCATGAATGTAAGGGGTACAAACAACTTAAGTTCAAAAATCTTCAGATTTAAAGCACCTGAGTAGCTGCATCTCAGTAGATGGGATCCTGAATCTCAAGCCTAAGCTTAATGCCCTGCTTGAATAAGACTTTCTTGGGAGGATATGAATGTATTTTCCATGGGGGTGGAATGTAAATTTGTAGCCAGAATGTGGACTTTGGTGGATTCAAGATGGCCACAAATTATTTGACACTACTCTCATAGATGAAGGGTTGTGACCCCTCTTTTTCTTCTTTTAATAGACACACTACCTTGGCTTTAAGTCAATTAGCAAACAGAAATTACTTATCAGTAGTTTCTCCCCTCTTCTTGAAAGTAGGGAAGCTCTGTGACAATTTTGACAAAGAGAAAACTAAAAATGAAGCTATGCTAATTTCCGGGCCCTGGCCCTAAGAGAGTGGCACCTTCCACCTCCTATTTCGTGGAACTGTCTTTTAGAATGGCTGCTCTGGAGGAGGCCAGATGTCATAGAGCAAGTCCAACTACCCTGAAATTTCCGTACAAGAAACTATTGTTATCACCCTGTCCCTATCCCAGTCATCCAGTCCAGGCACTAGGCTTGTGAGTGAAGCAGCTAATTTGGTCTATTCAGGCTCCCGCATGCACTATATGAAGAATGGAGGCTCTACACATATGGCCACAGGTATCTCCAGAAGTTTGAGTCACTCTAGCTGAGGCCCCAGAAATCGTGAAGCAGAGACAAATCACCCAGCTGAACCCTGATCAAACTCCTTACCTATATAACCATAAGGTGTAATTAAATGGCTGTTATAAATATCAGGAAGAAAATCAGCAAAGTCTCCTGGCTTTCAATTGAGTTTAGATATCCTTATTATAGACACAGATACAGTACAGATGTCAAGTTGGTATTTGGATGTATGGTTCTGGAGTTCAGTAAAGAGGTCCAGAGTGAACATATAAATTTGGGAGACATCCTTCTTATCCTGTTCTAGTTTTCCTTTTTCCATAGTACTGATCACCTCTGATATTTTTTAGGTAATTTGTTTATTATGTCTAATGTTTATTATCTATCTTCCCAGATACAATGTAAGCTCCTCAAGGACAGGGGTTTTTGCCTTATTCACTAATGTGTCATCATGCATGCAGAACAGTGAGTGGAGTAGAAGACAGTCAAATATTTGTTGATTTGTTGAATAAATGAACCAACTTAAAAATGGTATTTAAGACCATTTTAGTGATGAAATTACCTTGGGAGAGAGTGAGTGTAATAGAGAAAAGATAATGTTTGAGGAGGGGAATTTCAACTTTTAGATGCTGAAAAGAGGAAGAGGAATCAGCAAGAGACTGAGAGGATGTAGCCAGCAAGGGAGGGACATAAATGAGAGAGTGTTTTAGAAGCAGGTAAAGAAAGTGTTTCAAGTTAGGTTAATGATGCTATAGACAGAGTAAGAAATGCACTGATAATTACTCAGTTAGCTGATGTAGAACGTCCACTGAGGACACTGACATCAACAATTTAAGTGGAATGGTGCAGATAAAATCTAACCATACAAAGAACAGGAGAATGGAAGGAGAGGAAATAGACTTTTAAAAAATGAGTTCTGCTGGGGAAGAAAAATGGTAGAGAGGGATGTTGTGATGAGAGTGTTTGCTGTTGATAGGATATAAAATGTTTCACATGCTCACAGGAATAAACTTACAGTCAGGGAAAATCCAAACAGTACAAAGAGAGTAGGGGCAGATGAGTACGTGAGAAGGGATGAAATCTGAAACAAATGAGTGAATGACCCCTAGATAAGAACAAAATAATTTATCTACAGTTAGGAAGATAAAGAGTAGAGTACATGGGTACGGAAGTAGGATATTGATAGATGTGGTAGAAATTTCCTTCTACTTGCTTCTATTTTCTCAGTAAAAAAGGGGGCAAGGACTGGGAAAAGAAGATCAAAATAAACCTGAAGTGAGCATAATGGAGTAAGTAGTAAAGATTAAAGTGGAAACAAATGGTATCGAGAGTAGAAAAACAACAGAGAAAAATCAGTCATCGTCAGAAAATCAATAATTCATCAGGGAAATAAAAAATAAAACCACAGTGAGATACCACTTCACCCTTCATCATGTCTAGCATTAGGATAGCTAGAATAAAAAAGTCAGCAGTAAAAAGTGTTGGTAAGGATGTGGAGAACTCAGGACCCTCATACACACTGCTGGTGGGAATGTAAAATTGGGCAGCTACTTTGAAAAACAATCTAAAAGTTCTTCCAATGATTAAATAGACTTACCATATGACCCATCAATTTTGGCCAAGAGAAATGAAAACATATATCCAAACAGAAAACTTGTAGATGAATCTGTATAACAGCATGCTCCATAATAGCCAAAACGTGAAAACAACCTAAATGTCCATCTAGAGATGAGTTAATGTAATTTATGCTAATGACGGAATAAGAAGGAATGAAATCCTAAAACTTGCCTCAACATGGGTGGACCCTGAAAACATATGGTAAGTGAAAGAAGCCAGTCATAAAAGACTACATACCATATAAATGGAAATTCACTTGAAAGTCCAGAATAGGGATATCTATCAAGACAAAAAAAATTCATGATAATGCTGGGAGACAGGAGGATAGGGACACAGAGGGTGACAGATAAAGGATGTGGAATCTCTTCTTGAGATGATGGAAAATGCTCTCAGATTGGCTGTGATGACGGGTGGTTGCACATATCTTTGAATATACTCAAAGCATTGAATGGTGCACTTCAAATGAGTGAACTGTATGGTATGTGAATTATGTCTCAATAAAGCTTTAAAAGAAAAAAAAAAGGGGGCAAGGTCTTCCACTAAGAATGAAGACAGAAGATGTATGAAATAGTCTTTTAGCACTGTACCCAAATACATTTGGCCCATTTCATGCTTTAGAATTTATACTGTGCTGCAATTATTTATGTACATGTCTTTTTCTCCACTAAACTGTAAAATAATTTATGGTGGGGAAGTGCTTTTTATTTTTACATTACCACCATGTAACAAAATACTATGCAAATAACTGTTAACTCACTGATTGAATAAACAACCATTACAGATTCCTCTAAGACTCTGCAGCAAAGACGAAAGAGTTCGAAAACAGCAATAAATAAAATACTATCAAGTACCTATTTGATGAATATACTTAAATGCAATTTGCAAATATTGAGAAACTGAAACCATTAAACTTCAAGTTGTACATGAAATTTTAAAATTACAAATACAACATCAACATTTCTTTCTTAACATACTAAAGAAATAATAAGATACTGCTATTAAAAATAACTGTAGAGTTACGTGTTAAGAGTACAGGACACAGATTCTAGGTATTCAACATTTCATGACAAAATGCCAAAGTTCAGCTCCAAATGATGATCTGATTAAAATTTTTAACTTTCATACAAAATCCAAACAACAGCAAATTGTATTATTTGAAGCAATTATATTTAAAATCACCAAAATTCAAATACACTATTTAAAAATTGAGAAAGAAAAATGATCGAATCATGAACTTGTTATATTTCATTTAATTATTTATTACTTTTGGGATATTCTTTTTCCTTTAATCAAATGAGTAACAGTGATATATATGCTATTAGTAGAAAATTAAGAGCTCATCTATAAAATGCTATGAAAAGAAATTTCAATTATTACTGAATATTCCAACTCAGTTTAAAAATGCAAAAGAAGGCACTCCATAGACTTGATTTTGAAGCAGCCCCACCTCCCTCTGAACTAATAAATAATTTGCTAGGTGTCCTAAATAAGCCTTCAGAAAAGTTTATATATTAACTGAATAGTTCAGAACACCAAGCCACAGGTACAGAAAGGAACAGCCGTTTCCTAACCAAGTCCACTGGAGCAGGTGGGGAAGGAAACAGCAGAATCTAACGATGCACAGTTGCCAGAGACACAGAGCATGACTCTCTTTCCCCATGACCTGCAGGTCAGTTTTTAGTTAGATGCAATGGAAATAAAACTGAAAGGAATCAGCAGAGGAAATAGAAAATGAAAGGTATGACTCAACATTTTTTACTTTTGGTGAAGTCGAATGGTTTCCACCACTGAGCAAACTGCAGTGCTTTCTTCCTCTGATCCTCAAAGTTTTCTCGGATCCCTTTCCTCCAAAGTCTGGGTTCCAAATCCAGCATCCCACCAAGGATTTCCTTTTAAAGAATGAGAAAAACAGAAACACGGATGTATAAATGCTGAAAACATGAATGAATGAAAGAGGTATGAAATTATGTTTATTCCTCTACTAAACATAACATTAAGCAGTTCTCCATAAGGATATTCAAATTTTACATAAATATCAGTTTCAAATTTTAAAAAATATTGTTTTCAGTTAGTCCTAACTATGCAAGCCCTGTAATTCTAGGGAGTCGAGGCTGTGTCTCTTGTCAAGCTATCTGTCCATTTTGTTGCTTGTTAGCACACCTAATAGCCAACAGCAAAGAGGAGGAAGAGAAAGTGAAATTTAACTAATTCAGTCCTTATTAGCTGCTCTGATAAACAGTTTGAAGAAAAAGTTAATTAACGTAGCAATTACAAACTTTTTTGTTTAACTGCAGTTGAATCTCAGGCTAACATTCTATCTGCTACCCAGGATATTTTATAAGTTTCTTCTATGATTAGCTGGGAATCTTTTTTTCAGGAAACAAAACCATATTTTAATACTAATCCAAGTAAACCCAGAACTAAAAATTATAAATCACCTTTATTTGAAAAGTCACATTCCCAGGCTCTGAAAGGAATAGATTTTGTCAGCTTATTATTCTAGGTTATTTCCTTCATGATCCTCTTCCTGTGCTGTTAGCTACAGAAGCTAATCAAATTTAGGCTTGTGAGTATCCATGCACAGAAAGTTATGCGGGAGACGTGTAATGCTGAGAGGGAAGTCAGTATGGTGATTCAAGAAAACACACAACTGAGGGTCAAATTCTGCATATTCAGTTGAGCTCTCCACTACTGTGTGGTGAGATCTTGGACATAATCTAAGACAGGTTCTTCATCGTAACAGTTACACCAAGGGGGCCCACTGCATACAAGCAGGTGCTAAATATTGAAGGTGATAGAAAAATAATTAACATATATCTGCCTGTCTTCAGAGAGCTCATAACATTATGTGGAGCATTACTGGGAGCCAGAATAATAACCCAACTATGGGAAGGATTGTTTTATATAGTAGAATAAGGTAAATGCCAAAGCAGACTATAGAGACTCAAAAAAGATGACATTTGTTGGATAAATCAGGAAAAGTTTCATGGAAAAGGGAACCTCTTTCACTGGGAAAGGAAATAAAGAAGCCAACAGAGACAAAAGTTTGTAGAAGACATCAAGAGAAATGGGGTAAATTTAGATTTAATGCAAGAGATACCTGGCACCAGCCCAAGAAAGTAATGTAGTTCAGAAAATCTAGCTTATAAATTGAACTCAAGTTGTCTCTATAAAACATCAAGTTTTATCTACCATCTACCATATAGGATTGATTTTTGTTAAAAGATGCAGCTGTCACTGGAAAGAGACTATCCCTTCTTGCTCTCTGAGCAACTGCTTAGGAAGCAGGCTGAAGGAATTTTTGGGCTCACAGACTTCCTTGAAGAGCAAATTTTGGACAAAATGGGTCAGTGGTGCAATCCTGAAGAAGCTTTCCTTTTATCATTAAAACAGGATCATTCGAACCATAAGACATGCATAATATTTGGAGGGGGGCAATCTCCCAATTAAGTTTATACAAGTTAAAAAAAAAGGATATTTTACTTTGTTTACATTAGAATCAAGTTTAAAAAAAAATCCAGTGATTGAGCCTTCAGTCATAAAGCTCTATTGAATAACAAAATAATTTTTTCAGGACAATTAAAACAAATTTCTTTATAGTTAACTCTGGAATAAAATATTCTGAAAATTTCTCAATCAAAGTTTCTGTAATATTATCTCAACCGTTCAAAGATAGATGGGCATGATTTGGAGCCTTTGGTGAGGGCAACAGCATGAAGGTTTTGAATCCAAACCTCTGGAAGTGAGAATCCTCTTGAAATGTTTGTTGCAGAAGGTGGTCTTCCACAGGAGGTGAAAGCGGAGAGGGAGAATAGGAACCTCTGGGCAAGCCCATCAAGGCTCCTCTAACTTAGAGACTGTATGAGCAGAAAGGCCTGAGCCTATTAAAGATCACTTCTAGAGATATTATTGCCCAGACTTCTTTTGACTTCTTCAGTGTCTACATTAATTTCATTCCAGTCCCTACTACTAATATACATACTTCCCAGATACTCAGTAGATCTTATATTTAGGGACTATATGCCTAGAAGAAAGTAATGGAAAGAACCTACTAGCAATCAAAAGACCTACACTTTAATATCTATCTAAAAACTACCTATGTGAAATGAGTCATATATTCTTCTCTCTATATAGTCCTTAATGATAAATGAAGAGGTGAGATGATTTGTTCTCTAGTTCAACCATGAGCATATGTACCCCTCCTGGTTCTGTTACTTATTAGTACTTATTAGTACGCAAGTTACATAACCTCTCTGTAGCTTAGTTCCTTCATCTGTAAATGGAAGTTAACAGTATCTACGTAACAAGAGTTATTGTGAGCATTAAATGAGCGCTCAGAACAGAAACTGGCTCATTGTAAGGCTTCAAAAAGTATTAGCAGTTATCATTCTCAGCACAAGGCTGGCTGACTTGACAGGAAAACACTATTGTCACTGTTGACACTGTCCACAAATGTTTGGTTGGAAAGTGACATTCCTGACTGTTATAAATATGCTGGGGATATTTTCATTAATAGTTTCTAGGTTTTCCCTTTAAAAAGTGGGTGGAACAATGCTCACCAACTTCCCAGAATATACTGCCCAAAGTTTTAATTTCCCTTCAAAAGAAAAGTGTTACCAAATTGCTAAACTCTAGAATTTTATTAAATCTGTGCACATACCTTTCCAAAGTAATGAGGGAATTTGTGTTGATCTTCAATAACATGGGCAAACCCACCTTGGACGCCAAAATCCACAGAGAAGTAAGGTAAGCCTCTTGGTACCTAAATAATCAAACCACACATAAATATAGCATGAAATCAGAAAGTTATGCTTAATCCCTCTTCCTGACATGACAGGAATTAAGCATACTTCAAGACAAACATATACAATGAATTTCCAATTCTACAGGTTCTTAAGCAATGACCTAATTTTCTCAGTTAAGTATTTCATTGAATAGACTTTCAGCCAGACAGATCTTCCTAACATCCAGTAATTATAATCAAAACCAATTATTTCCCTGTCTTTGGAGAAAACAGGAAAGAATAGGTGCTTTTTAATATATATATGAAATATAACAGAATAATTTTTCTTAGACTATTCAAATAGAGAATAAGGAAATTCTTTCTTGTATTTTCCTCACAATGCAGAATAGAAGGGCCTAGCCATATACTTAGAGCTTTTTTTAAAGTATCCCTGAAATTTTACTATTTGTTTACCATAGTTAAATTAAACATGAACAGACATAATTTCTTATTAACTGGTGAGATGGGTACAGCAATAGTTTGTTGTAATGACCTCATTTCAAAATATTTCCAGGATTAACTATTATCTTTTCTTCCCTCCCTTTTTCTACACATACACACACACATAGAACACATTATGCACACAAAGTATTTTTAACTTTATCTTGGTTGGAAATGGACATAATTTCTTGCTTCATCATTTACATAGATTTTGGTCCTTCCGAGTTTTTCCACCAGCCCCAATTCTGTCATGAGAAATTATCCAAGTGGGTCCACTTACAGTAATATTTCCTCTCTCTCATCCCCTTATTCAGATAGCATTTACTCATTCTAGCACTAAATCACATATTTCTACTAAACAGTATGTATTTCATTATGTCTTCAAGAAGGCATGACTTGAAAAGAGTGTGGTATGGAGAAAACAGAGTGAGCATCTTGAAATAATATAAGGCAATTAAAATTAGGGCTTATAAAGAATTGACCATGCTATAGGAAAAGCATAAGTAAAAAAATCAGTTTACAAAATAGTAGAATGTAGAGAAATGGAGAGCTGTTTTGTGGCTTTGTATTTTTTTATATTTTCACATTATTATCAAGACACAGATAGTCTCTAATTGCAGCTCTGATTCTTTTAACTGTAACCTTAAGCAAGTTATTTAACATCTCTGAGTCTCATGACAAATACAAAGAGCTCAGAGGTTTTGCTGTGAGGATTAAATAGGAAAATGCACATAAAGTGCACCGCCCAATGCTTGGCACAGAGATCACTCAAACATTACTTTCATTTCTGTCTCCCAAAGGATAGTGCTTTGTGCAACCCAGGAGGTCAAAGAAAAAAGGATGGAAGGCTTCATTAGAATACCTTTGCTATCTGAAGCAGGTAAGTACGTATCAAACATAAATCTGAATGGCTAAAACAACATTATGGAACTAAAGGACACACTTCAAGGGAGAGAGAACTTGAGGAAGCAACTGCGATGGCGGCGCCCTTGCCTTTGGTTTGTGTCATATGGTACTTGGCAAAATAATGGCCTGTTTGCCATGAATATATTATCTTGTATGGCAAAAGGGACTCGCAAATGCAGTGAAGTTAGGACCCTGAAATGGGGAGATTATTCTAGTTTATGCAGGTGGACCCACTGTAATCATAAGGGTACTTATAAGGCAAGACAAAAAGGTTAAGAGTCAGAGAAAGAGTGAAAGATCCTGCACTATTGACTTTGAAGATGAAGAAAATGACCACGAGTTGGAGTGCAGCGGTGGCTTCTGAAAACTGGAAAAGGCAAAGGAATGTACTGCCTGCTAGAGTCTCCGAAAGGAGTGCAGGCCTGCTAACACCCTGACTGCAGCCCAGTGAAACCCATCACAGTGTAGCTTCCAGAACTACAGATAATAAAACTGTTGTTTTAAATCCCTAAATTCATGGTAATTTATTACAGCAGCAATAGGAAACTAATATACATACCAATTCTCAACTGACTCTGGCGTAACTGCCAAGGTGGCTCAGGGAACTCACTACCTTTTTTACGCAAAGAGCAGCTGCTGCTACAAGCTTCTCATCAGTTCTGGTGCTGGAGGCTGCAGAAGCTACAGGCTCCTGTCTTTCTCCAAGAGTTGTTAGCAGGCACTGCAAAGGCTCTAGTTGCAAAGTACAGACATGTTTAGCACTTTTCTTTTCCTGCCTTGACCAGCCAGAGGGAAAAGAAGTTGGAACTCTGGTATGAGTTATGAAAAGCACTGACAGAATTACAGCAAAAAAAATTTACTGATGGTGGAAAAACAGCAGCATCTGATTTTTCCCCTTTTAATATTCCAGATGTTACTTCTGAACTTCCTGTAACTGTCTTTGGGTTTGAAGGTCACAAATTTTCCTTGAAACAGACTTTACTTAGTTTTAAAAATCAGTCCCTAAATATGTTAGATGTTTTCCAACTATAGTTACCACAAAATTAAACTTAAAAATCACAACACTTAAAAGTTGGGGGGAATTTATATGAAATCTCAATAAAATAGCCTTGTGGAAAGAGACCACTTTTCTTGACAAGTTATTTCAAATCATGCAATTCCTCTTCAAGGAACATTCAGCATTATTTCCCTTGTAAGACTACACTGCAAAGAAAGCAAAAAACCCAAAGAAAGTAAATAAAATGGTCACAAAAAGAGATGCTTATACTTATAGAGAAAAACAAATATAAATAAAGAAATCAACAAAGAATCTGAATGATTACAAGCATGTGAATCTCTACTAAAAACCAAGGATCTACTGGGGGAAAAAAATTACTCCACCCCCAATGAAGCAGGTAAAATACTTTCTGAAACTACCAAAGATATAGAGCTTAAAAGAAGTATAATGAGTTCTTTATAATAAAAATAATGTTGAAAAATAATGACTCAAGATTGTTCACTTCATGCTCAGAGACAATTTTATCATTTTAAAAAGACACTGGAAAGCTTGCTAACCTAAAAATGACCTCCTCTGGAATTACTCTTATACTCAAGTTCTCCAAATACTTAGTAAATCCTACAGCTAAGAAGGCCCTCAGTAGGTCATCTGGCTCATTCCCCATCTGCCGTGAATCTCAGATCTAACACTATGTGGTAACTTAGAGAAGGTAATTGTTGCTATCTTTGAAATGCTTACCATTCCAACAACAATCTGTATCTGTTTTTATTTTCCATATTCGTTAAGTCAAATGTTAAAACCTTCCCAGTACTCAATTTGAGTACTTATCCGGGTTTTAAAAAACAACTTACAATAGGTACTAGGTGGTTTACTGGTAAGAAAACTGCACATACAGTATAACAAATGGAGAATAATACCTTTCTTCTAAAACTTCTACTTTGAAATATTTTCAACTGTCTTTAAAATCATGTTCTAAAAGAGTACTTAATGGTGTTGGAAATTATGAGAAGTGAAAACTCAGTCACTAAAGATGTGGGTACATTAGATAGGCTCATGAAAGATGGATGTAAACAGAACATTTATGAAGTTTTTTTTGGTTTTGGTTTTTTTTTTAAATATATGTCTGGCTCAATTCACCTGCAAGCAAGAAAATAAGGTTATAGGAAATGCTTTACCCTTGAATTAAAACTATCTCCAATAATACAATGAAATTTCAATCCCTTGGGAGATAATAAATGTAATAGAGAATTCTTTCAGTCACATGTATCAGGAGTCTGGCTTTCCAAAGAAATGGGAGAGAAATAATCTAGTGCCAGCTACCAGAATAAGGGTCAGCAAACTAAAAAAAAAAAAAAAAAGTTTTATTTAAATGAAATTTTTTGGGCTTTGCAGATCATACAGTCTCGGTTAAAATTCTCAACTCTGCCCTTGTAGCAAGAAAGCTGACAAAAACAATACACAAATACATGGGTGTGCCTGTGTTTCAATAAAACTTTGTTTACATTAGCAGACAGCAGGTCGGACTTCGCACACAGGCTGGAGTTCCCAAACCCTGTGCTAGACTAGAAGTTATATAAGGTCCTCTCTGTTTTGTTTCACTGTATAAAAAATACTAGAATAGTGCCTGGTAAACAGCAGGCATTTGATAAATATGCAGTATAAATTACTTTTTGAATAGAGAAACAAAAAGGAATCCACAGTTTATTATATCTCTAGTCCATTTAATTTGTATTTCTAGAAGAGTGAGGTCATTAGAAAAAGTACTCAATTTATGTGTAAATTTTATCTAAAATAAATGGGCATTTCATTAAACTATGAAACATGGTTTAGGAAATACAAAAGAATGTATAAAGAAAAAAAAGGTACAAATTCAAATGTAAGCCTCTAGAAAAATGTCTCTTATTGTAATTCCAATAACAAGAAGGCCCCTCTCACCACCTGTCCCACGTAGCCCCTGTGGCAGTCTGATGGCTGTCATAGCCAGCTATGGGCACTACGATGGCAGAGGGATGGGTCAGGAATAAGCATTCAAATAAGCATTTGAATGAATAAGCATTTGCTAGACCAGACTTGATGAAAATAATTTCTTTATTTGTAAAATTAGTTACTTCACCTTTAGTCACTCAGCCAAATGGTCTCTTTCTCAAATGGGACATGAAAATTAATGAAGATTCTGAACACTGGGGTAATTTCTTATACTTGAAAAAATGATACTTACAGACTTTCTGATATCTTTTGAAGAGAGATCAATCAATTTCTTGTTCATAGACCATTCTTCATCAGATTCCATTATGGCTTTCTAAGAAATAGACATTTGTTAATGAAAAAATAATTATGTAAGCAAATATAACATAAATACCATTAATTAATTGATTATACATGGTAGGTCATTATTCTGAATGGATTAAGGCTTTAATTTCTGTTATTTAATACAGGAACTTGATTTTTTTAAAGTATTTAAAAACAATCCTTAATAAGATAAAGCAATTTAATAGTGATCATAATTTGTGAACATGAGAGTTCACAAATTCCTTACTCAAGGAATCTACTCAAAATTTCATTTAGTTTTACTGCTGTTTTCTATAATATAAAGAGTAATTTTTATACCATCTGTCAACCAAGTATTTGAACTACTTCTGGTTATTTAACCAAGTAAAAATACAGGAAAAAAAAATACACAGAAATGGTAATATAAGGCTTACTAAGCTAAGCAGTATGACCAGTATTTATGGTAGAGAACTATTTTATAAAAAAAAATAGGTTATTTCATTTTGTAATCATCATTAATGAAGCAGATTTTAAAAATGAAATTAATACTCAAATAAGCACAATTTAAATACATCACATATGCTGCTATTCCCTATTTAAAAGGAATGGGTTGCTTCTGTCGACATTAGCATGCAACACATTCAACATAAAACTGAAGCCAAATCAAATAAATGCATCTGTAATGATCATACAAAAGCTTTACTTTAGAAAAGTGATACATGATTCTGCTAAGAGATGACATTTCTGTCCCCCAACAGTAACAGAAAAACAGTGGCTCCTCTACATTGTGCCATGTACTTCAATGCCTAAACAATCACCTAAGACTACTGAGGAAGTGCCAAAAAAACAATGAAAAGAAGTATACTCTCTTTCTCAACTGATTTTTATGTAAGACTGTCATGGTTTTAGGATTATCTGATTTATCCTCCTATATTTAATAACATTAATTCTTCAAATCAAATGACCAGATTATTTTTAGAAATTTCTACAGAGAAAGTAGATTTTCACCATCTCATTAATCTTATCAAGTTTATAATCCTTTTTATTAAAATTAATTTAGAGTTCATATTAATAAACTTCACTGACCTATACTGTCTAAACATTGTATATGAAGTCTTCCTACACCACCTCACAAAACATTACTGTATTTTTTCACTGAATATGTTACTCTTTCAAATATGGTTCTACATTCACATTGTATTACTCTATAAATTATACTGTGTTCAGGTCAGCATCAAATGCATGCTAGTTAGTAAAAGCTCCTTGAATATTACAATGACAATTAAGAACTCAAGTCATTTATTACATGTCCAAAAATTATGTCAAGGTTTCATATTAGTTTCTTTTCACAAATAGTCTGATAAGGCATTAAATACTGAAACAGAAATAACCTGTCACAACAGTTATAATTTGTAATGTTTGTATGCAACTGTGGTAAGTTTTTCTAGAATTATGACTATGATTTTGACTTCAAAGTACTTCAAGGTAAAACCCTGATTTTTCATTTGAGAAGTGAGAAATTAAAATACTAATTAAATTATCATTTGATAGTATATTCATACTTATAAGTAAGCATGCTTTTTAAAGGTCAAAATCCAAATTTCTTTCTAGAAAAATTTATACAGCTGAATTTTTTTGTTCTTTATTCATTTTATGATATAAAATTAGATTTAAATATATAGGAGAAAAATACAAGAAAAAAAAATAACTGTGTCCATGAGACAGTGCTATAGCAAAAAATATTCATGTAAAGACTATAAATACCTTAAAATAGATGGGAGCCATATCACCCACTTCCTTTGGGAGAGGAATGCATTCATAAACCATATGATACTGTTTCTTCATGCTCATATTGGTTTCTAAAAAGATGCAGTCCAATCCTTTATCTTCAAACATCTTTACCAATGCTTTTCTGAACATCTGAAGCAAGGAAATTGGGTTGTTTTAAGGAGATTCAAAATACGAAAACAATAAAAAGTAAAATAAATCCCCTTAAAATAAAAAACAAAGTATTTAATATCTGAACTCTGTAATGTTACCTTATAATTAGTTTACTTTCTAAATCTACTACATTATTTCTCATATTTAAGCAACATTTTTTTTTAAGCTGAGACTCACTCTGCACAGTTTTATGTATACATTGGAAATGGTTCAAGTAAACTAAAATGAGAGAAGGGAGACATAAAATCAAATTTGAGGTGGTAAAATATGCAGAACTGACAGTAAAATCATCCATAAGCCAAAAAAAGGTACTCTGAGTAGGTTGGTATGCTTAAATTCAGTAAGACAAGCAGAATTCACTTCTAGTTGTTTCCCTGTGCTCACCAGCTCTCCATTTGCTGGTTCCCTTATGTGTTTACTGAACTTTCACTTATAACCTTGTATATTCAAGCAGCCCCCTATTTTCATATATAATTCAGTCCTACCAAGTATATAAAAGCCAAATATACTAAAAATTGAAAAGACTGTTTTCTTTTCTCAAAGAGCTCAGCATTGTTAAAAAAATTCTTTTTTTTGAGGTATTTTTCAAAAACTATTTATGTACTTATTTTCTTATTTCACACTCTTAGGACTGAGGGACAACTGTTTGCAGAGCTTGGCTGGATGGAGCTTAGACATGTGGTCCAGAGATGTTCACATGTATTCACAGGACACCCCTTGCAAGACAGGATATAAAGCCAGGGGTTAGAAGAAGGGGAAGCAAGGCTGCAGACTGGAAGCCAGAAGTCAGCTCTACTTACACTATCATGTGTGGACAGACATCCAAGTGATTTGAGGATTCTAAATTCAAACTTAGGCTTGTAGAGTGTTGTGCAAGTGTATTTGTCTAAGTAGGAAGATGAAACTTTTTTATTTAGATTTATTGGCTTGATTTATAACTGCTTAAAATTTCAATTAAATTTTTAAATTATGATTATAGATCACATTGTAGAGATAATAAAGAGAGATCCCACGTACCCTTAACCCAGTTTCCCCCCATGGTAACATCTTATAAAACCACAGTGCAGTTACACAGCCAAGATATTAACACTGATACAGTCAAGATATAGAGCAATCCAAACGCTCTGAGGATCCCTCCGGTTGTCCTTTTATAGTCATATACACTCTTACCCACCTCTTTCTAACCCTTGGTAACCACCAATCTGTTTTCCATTTTTTTTAACTTTGTCATTTCAAGAATGTTCTATGAACAGAATCACATAATCTTCTGGGACTGGCATTTTTCACTTAGCATAATTCCCTGGAGATTCAACCAGGTTATGATTAAGGCCCTGCCTAGTAACTGCCATGTGGAGATAGATGTTCAGTTCTCCACTCAGCCTCTGCTGACTTTCTCCAGAAAAGGGAAAGGCTACTTATTGTTGCTAGGTAAGAGATGGGAACTCTGGGCTTCTATTAGGCCTCCATTGATCACTTATTATTGATCATTCATCACTTTCCTGTTTTTCACCCATTTTGTATAAGATAAAAGCAAGCAGGAAAAAAAGGGGATAAATCAAATAATTTTAAATTTGAGGTGAACTAAAAAGATACCTAGTAAACAACAGATATGGGATGCATTTTCATTTCTGACCACAGCTATATATAAGTTCAGCATAACCTCCATCAACATTGAATTTTCAAAGTCTTGGCTAGAGGTTGCAGACATTCCACCTATAATCTCATTATAGATGATTGTTAGATAAATCATTATAGATAATTACTGATGATTGTTTCACCTTTTAAAAATTCTTCTGATTTTGATACCATACTTTGTAAGATGACATTAATGAAGACAGTGAACACACAACTGAGGCTAAATGATGATAAAAAATAGTGAAATATAAATACTGGTATAAAAACTATATGGTAAAACTGATCATTCAAATGTTATAGTTGCCATGTCCCTAATATGATTTCTGCAGATATTCTGCAAAAATCTTCTCCAAAAAAGGCTATGTTCACCAAACTCTCATTTTCCTCTTCCAGGGCAAACAAGAAGACTTAAGTTTCACAGCCTCACTTAGGTGGGGCCATGCTCCTGGGTAATGGAATGTATGTAGAAACAACATGTCATTGTATGTTGAAGCAGTCAAGAAGTAATGTGCCCTTTCATATTCATTTTCCTCCATTCAAGGGGCTCAAACAGGAGAATTCTACCACAGAGCCTGCCATGGAAGAAGCCTGGTGCCTGGATCACGCTTGGAGCTGATGTGCCCAGCCCACACTGGACTAGAATGTAAGAAGTTAACTTTTGCTGCCTCAAGGTACTGTGAGTTAGGTTTTGTGTGCAACAGCAATGAAGAATACTAAGATGGGCAATTCACTGACATCAGGAATATGTGTGAAGCTGCTGGTCAACCAGAAAGTGAAAATAGTTAACTCTATTTTTCCCTCTATTCAACTGCATGTCCCAGAAAGTTACCTTCACATGCCTAGTATCACACACACAAGACAATTAAAACACAAATTAAAAATGGGAAAGTATACAAAAAATTGGATTTTATAACATAGTTTTCTGGATTGTCTCTATTTTGTTAACTGTTACTACGTTTAAGAATTTTAATTTTTTATGAATATTTTCACTTAATTGTTATTTATGTTATTATCTAGTTCTGTGGAGAGGAGATAATTTCATATACTAGAAAAAGGAAAATCATTGCTGGAATGGAAATACATATTTGCTAACCAAACTTTTTTGAAGAAGGTTAAAGTGAATAAAAACAGCAGCAAGAACAGTAACAGAAAATTAGATAATCCAAAAATTATACCAGAAACTGCCTTACTGAACATGTGTCTACAATCCTCCCCTGGCTTAGCTGCTGAATGACTGTTCTAGATTCTATCTGGACAACAGTGAAGAAGACAGACTCAAGACGTCATGGATTATAAATGAAAACTCAAAAGTACTAAGTAAGTGATGATGTAAGAATAGGTCAGCACCAGCAGTTTCCCAAGGAGATGGCCCCATCATGTCACTTCACAGTGACACTTCTGTGGGTAGGCCTCAGTGACCCCTACATGGCACTGCATCACTAATTTGGGATATTTTTTAAATGGACCTATAGTGCCTGCATATAATAGATATCAAGTATATTTGTCAAACTTAAAAGAATTGAAAGAGGACCAAGGTTTACTATATATTTAAAAAAACTAAAAACTTGGATTTTATTCCCTTGAAATTTGTGATTATTCCCATATGTTTTGCTGAAACTTATTTTTGCATTTTCTATTAAATATAAAATCTAAAATTAAATTCAAATGTTAATAGAAGATGGTGATAAAAACAATTTGAAACAATACTGTTTTCTAAATCAAATCTTTTTTATATATATTCTCTAAAAGAGGTGAATGATCATAAGAATATATTCACCAGGTCGTAATTGAGTTTTTGTACATATTTGAAAGTAAGACAAAAATCTAAAAACTACATTTCTTTAAAAAAGCTAGAAAGCAAATATTTTATTCATTCACTAATCTTACAGTAATCTACAACTTCTAACAATTTTTTCTTTAATCACATAAAAAAAGACCTATAATGTCATTTTTTGCATAAAACAATGTCTTTTCCTCCCTCATTTAATTTTCCATAATGCATCTTGATTAAAAAAATCTGTTGAACTATAATGCAACCTTTACTACAATATACCATACCTTTGGACAGAATGAATGAATGATTTTATCTCTATGTTTCTTACAGCACGTGGATTATTCATATTCATGGGCTCAGTATCAGCTGAACTAAATAAATTTCTTCTTCATCCACCTCAGTGCTTTTCATCAAGTAGCTTAATTTCTTACAAAAACATAAAACACACAGACTAGATTCCCATATTACTTAAAATCTTTTTGGCACTGTATTTTGCTCAAAGTTAAAAAGTTCTGCATATACAGACTTTTTTTTAAAAGACATTCCAGAAAAGTTCCAAAATAATTCTGAAAACCAAATTTGAATACTTTACACTTTATTTCCTGCACTGGCATTGACTACTCAAAAAAACAAACAAATTTTCACATTAAATATATTTGTCCACATTCTTACCCTTGCTTGGCCATAGAAGCATTATAACAGTCTGCCCTTTACCTTTCACAGCACAAACTTAAAGACTATGGGAAGCAACAGATGGAATTTCATGAAATTCAGTCAAAATATCTCATCTTTTGGCATCTTTGCTAGAATATGCAAAGACGACTGTTTTCTCTTTTGAAGTCTTACAATTTTTACATTTTCTAGCTGAGGGTCCCTGTAATCTCTATTCAACTGTCAGGCATTAAAAAAACAAGAATATTCTTTCTTTTTTGGTTATTATAAAGTCTTAAAATAATTCAGCAGCAACTTCAGCCATGTTGTACCTTTCAATTTCTTGAAGAACCAGCCACAAAAAAAGTCCCTGAATCCAAAAGCTGGGCCAGGTTATGAAGAGAAAATGTAGAAATTAAAGGTGTTAACAAAATCACAGCAGCAAAGGCCAATTCCATTATAGGAAAATATGGCATTTGCTGAATATAAACCTCTGATTTCCAAAATTTATATTTAATCGTCTAAAAGTTATCTTTCCTTTGGTTGTAATGTATTAGCTTACTGTGGTCAGAATGATTACCTCATGCAAAGACTAGAAATTTCACAATTTTTAAAAAAATAATTATTTTGTCACAGTTTATTTAGTAGACAAAAGCTTTCAGCTATATACCTGAAACTAATATATAATCTCAATAAAATATTTTTTTTCTTAAAGCTTTCAAAACAGGGATTACATAAGGATAATAAAACGGTAGTGAGTGGTGAGAACATAACATATACACCATACACAACTATGGAAATGTATATAGGTGTTTACGTTCATAAAGTAAAATCACTGGATGAAGGTATTAAACCTATGGAAATTTATGACAATAGTTTGCAAAGATGGCTCATAAGCATTACAATGATAATGAGCATTATCATGCTGACCTGAATTTCCTCCCAGATGTCTTCATCCAATAAGGTAGCTGCTCTATGGTGCTGCAAAGGAACTATCAGGCAGTGCCCTTCAGTAAGAGATCGGAAGTTAGGTAAACATAAATATACCTATGGGAAAAAAATTGCAAGGGTGAAATGTTATTGCTATTTATTCTCAGTTGTGGCAAATGAACCACTAATAGGCAAACATGTCTAATATTCAATAATGATACCTGTTTATAAGCAATATATTTTATTTTGCCATTTTCTAAGATATTTAAGTTTAAAAATATTTTAAAAGCAATGAAATTGCTTTTAATAAACTGAAAATTCATGCCACAAGTCTGTTTTAACTGTTATACATCGAAGATTAAGCTTACCCAAGAGCATAATCAATGAAACTTTATCCTTGACATGAGAAAACTACGTTTTCAAAGCCCTAGTAACAGAATAATTTTTGCAAGAATAAAAAAAAATAAATGGCCAGGTAATGGTAGAGAAGTCTAACCAATGCCTATCAGTCAGGCCTGCCTTCTCTCCTTGGCTGAGAAAAGAGAAATAATCCAACTAAGAGAGAAGGGAAATGACTTCAGCATGGCTTTACTTATCTGGTTAAGTTCTACTTATTTACATACATGTATAACCTACAAGCTGGTGCTATTTTTCCATTACACACAAACTTTCTTTAAAAAAAAAAAAGGAAATTAGTATGTATATAGTAAAAAGTATTCATGAGGAGAATAATGCTCGGCAAAGGGGCTTATAAAGAAGAAGCCTAGCAAAAGATAGTAAGCACACTTAATATCTCTGTGCCTTCCTGGGCCCAGCCTGTCTTCAGTGCACTAAGGAAAATGAAGTCATTTAAAAAACCCAAACTTCTCCTAAAGTATTATAGGAAAGATTTAAATGTCACTTTCATTTACTCTTATATTTTTTAAAGGTAGGGATCAGCCTGAAGAGGAATGAAATACTTTCACATGTCATAATTACAAAAAATGTAAATGTTTATGTAAAGGACTGGAAAAGAATTGAGAAAAATACAAACAACTAGTTAATTTTTCTTAATTGATTAAATTTTGAATGGAATTTCTACATTTACCTTTTTGATAAAGTGTGGAGGAAAAGAAAGAAGAAGGGTAAGGAAATAAACTTGGTTAAAGAAACAAAAATCCAAATTGATAAACTATCGTAAAAATCTAAAGATATTAAAGACGAGAGTTGGAATGGAAAAGCCAGTGCCACTTCTTTGGATACACAGGAGTGTGTGTGTATGTGTAAGTGTGTATACACAGCAGATAAATAAATATGAATATGTATAATCCCCCAACTATTAGTTTCTGAAACTAGCGTTCACTCAGCTTCCTCTCCTATCGCTTTTCTCATTCAACCCACTCTGGCTACACTGGGTTTCTTTTCTGCTCCATGAATGCCAAGCTCATTTCCTCCTCAAGGCTTTTCACTCACTGATGTCCCTTCCTGAACCACTGTTCATGCATATCTCCATATTGCTTGCTCCTTCTCACCTTTCACATCTTTACTAAAATACCTCCTCAGAGAGGTCTTTTAGACCACTTTCTCAAAAATTCTCCCACCATTTTATACCATTTCCTCACTTTATTTGCTTCATGACAATGAATGCTTGCTTAGATCAGGGGAATTTATTTTATTTTCTGCCCTATTTCACTAGAATATAAGCTCCACAAATATATCTGAGTCCCTACTTTTCCCCAGTGACTAATTAGGTTCTGGTATATATCAAATACACAATAAGTATTTACTTCATAAAAGAATTAAATCACCAAATATTTATTGAAATAAGTGAATATTATTAATGCTATTAAATAAGTGATTATTGATATTTATTGAAATAAATGACTGTGAATATACATGCTTGTTATACAATAAGTAAAAGTTATCTATGTCCTCATGGAACTTACAGACTATTGAGGGAGAGACTCAATAAACAATAAAACAAAATACAATAATCTTCAAATTATGACATAATTCCCACTGTTGATGTAAATATAAATAGATGTAACCACTATGGAAGGCAGTATTAAAGTTTCTCAAAAAAACCAAAAATAGAATACTATATGACCCATCCATTCCATGTCTGGGAATTTATCTACAGAAAACAGAATCATTGATTCAAAGATATACGCACCCCTATGTTTACTGTAGCATTATTTACAAAAGCCAAGATATGGAAGCAATCCAAGTGTCCATCAACAGATGAAAGGATAAGGAAGATGCAGTACATACATAAAACAAATACTACTCAGTCATAAAAAATGAATAAAATCATGCCACTTGTGACAACAAGGATGGACATAGAGGGTATTATGTTAAGTGAAATAAACCAGACAAAGACAAACACCATATAATTTCACTTATATACAGAATCGTAAAAACAAAACAAATGAATAAACAAAACTGACATAGACTCATAAACACAGAGAACAGACTGGTGGTTGCCATGGGGAGGAAGGTGGAAGTTGGTCAGAATAGCTGAAAGGGATAAAGAGGTACAAACCTCCAATTATAAAACAAATTAGTTATGGGAATGAAAGTACAGCACAGGGAATATAGTCAATAATATTGTATTATCTTTATTGACAGATGGTAATTACACTTATCGTGGTGAGCATTTAGTAATGTACATAATTGTCAAATCACTATGTTGTACACCTGAAACCAATGTAGCAACTATATTTCAATAAAAAAATACAAAAAAATTATGAGATATTCTATGAAGAAACAAATGGGTTCTATGAGAAAGTAAAGGAAGAAGCAGAAGCTACTTTACACTGAGTATCTCTCAAGTTAATTCAATACTGAGAATCAAACGCCAATCATAAAAATAAAGTCACACAGCTGGTAAATGGCAGAGCCAGAATTTGAATCTAGGTGGTCTGGTTACAAAGCCAGGGCCCTTAAGCACTACCCATGTTGCCTTTCTAAAGAGTCGGATCACACAAAATGTGAATTTCATTTCATTTAAAATTTATATTTGCTCTAAAGAAGATTCTAAGAATCAGAAGAACTTAGAAAAGAAAAATTTTGAAACAAAGTAAGAGAAGATGGATTTTCTTAGAATCCTGCAAGAGCATGAAGAAAGAGGCAAATCTGCATATACAACTAAATTGTTTTCTTAAGGCAATAAATATTTCTTACCTTAACACCTATTGCAACAATAAGGTGTTTGGGAAATTGAGAGCTGTCAAAACAGTACAGACATTTTTCCATTTGCGCAACAAGACTCTGGTGTTCAGCAATAGCTTTTTTCCTCTGATTCTCTTCCTCTTCACCAACACGTTCCCTCTCAGCTGCTTTGGAGACAAACATGTCATCCAGAGTACAATAGTCTCCATCTGTTTTTCCCATAAACTGAAAAACCAAAACAACAGTAGTGGGGAGAAGTAGTAGTTAAGATTTTATTGTATTGTAGCATATCTGTGAGTTCAGTGATAAAACTCTTACATTTTAAAAAAAGAAAAGAAAAAAACATGATTAGAATTTAAACTTGACTTTCAAGGGTCAATCTATCATTATCATCATCACCAACCATCACTATCACCACAAAAGTCCACTTAGTATTTACTAAATGCAATTCTATGTGACTTGATTGTTTTATATATATACTCTTACGATGGGACCGTTATCATTTCCATTTAGTAGATGAAGAAACTGAATCACAGAGAGGTTAAGAACTACTTTCACTTTAAAATTAGCACACACTCCATATAGGACATATAATATTTTTCAACTATATCTCCTGGCACCTTCTCCACACCTCCTTCAACATCAACTATAGCCACGGTGATGCTTCTAAAACATAAATTCTTCTTTACTTATTTCACTTATGTACCTGCTTAATAATCCTCAAAGAGCTCTACACTGAGAACAGGATGGAAGCCAAACTCCGGGGTGGCCTACTGAATCAGACACAGAAAGGCATGGTGGTCAAAGGCTTGGGCTCCATCTTCAGAATGGCCATGGTCACGTGATGGCCGAGGCGGAATTCTCTCTCATGCACATGACCGTGGACAAGTCATTTACTCTCTGTGTGCTCTCTCATTGCTTTATTTTCTCATTTTACTATGATTGTAACAACATTATCTATCTCAGAGGGTTATCTCACTTAATCCTTACAACACATGCCTAACACACAATAAGGACTTTTAAATGTGAGCCACATTATTATTACAAATCACTTTGTGATGTGGCACTGGTGAACTATCCAGTCACATCTGATCACACCTCAGCTAAGCTCTATGCTCAAGCCACCCTATTTTCAGTCCCCAAAAGTACTGTTACCTTCAGGCTCTGCACACATTGCTCTGGCCAGTTTTGCCATTCTACTCCTACTAATGGATCAGAGTGAGGATTGGATTTAGTAGTCACCTCTGTGAAAAGGCCTTCCCCAGTCCTCTAAGTTCCTCCCCCTGCAGTACTCCCATTACTCTTGTGACAACCGCACCGTATTGTAATTGCTCATCATCTTGTTAACTTAGTACTAAACATCAAAAAGAAAACTTTTTATCATCAACTTTAATGCAATTAACAAGATGTCTGGATACTATCAAACATTTTTAAAAGATTTGAAGAAAGCTAGAGTGGCTGTATTCAAGTCAGAGAAAGTAGACTTCAAAACAAAGTGAATGATGGATAAAGGTGATCATTTCATAATGATAAAGAGTCATACCATCAAAAGGACATAACAAACCTAAAGTATATGCACCTAAGAGAGTTTCAAAATATATGAAGCAAAAACGTGAGAACTGTAGGAGAAATAGACAAACCCACAATTGAAGTCAGAGATTTAAATGCCACTCTCTCAGTAATTGACAGAACAAGTAGGAAATCAATAGATATACAGAAGATTTGAACAAACTATTAACCAATTTGACCTGACATTGACAGAAATTCTATCCAACATCAGCAGAATACTTCTTCTCAATGCACAGAGAACATTTACTAAGATAGATGACATTCTCAGCCACAATACGAGTTTCAATAAATTTAAAGGATTCAACTAACTTAAAGTAAGTGCACTGAACATAATGGAATTAAATTAGAAACCCCAACAAATATATTTGGAAATTGCCAAGTATTTGGAAATTAAATAGCACCCTTCCAAATAACCCATAAATCAACAAAATAAAAAATAAAAGATATCTGGAATGAATTTTAAATGGGAATGAAAATACAAAATATGAAAATGTGTGGAATGTTGCTAATACAGTACTTAGACAATGATAGCACTAAAACATTCATATTAGAAAACAAGAAAGGCCTCGATTTAAAGATGTCAACTTCCACCTTAAGAAACTAGAAAAAGAAGAGAAAATAAAGCAATGTGAGCAGAAGAAAATTTCTAAAATGTCACTGATAGAACCAGGTAAAAATAGTAGTAGTAACACATCATGGGAAGATTGCGGCGTGAGTAGTTCAGAGGAAATCTCCTCCCCAAAACAATAAATACAACTATTCCTAAAAGAGACACCAGTGGATGCAGTACAACAGCCAGGATACATGTACATCTGCGAGAACTCAGCATCACACGAAGGGGGTAAGATACAAGCCGCAGCCAGGCAGGACCAGAATGCTCCCCCACCCCAAAACCCGGCAAGAAGAAAGGAGTCAGAATGGGGAGGGAGTGAAAGCCAAGGACTGCTAAACAACCAGCTCTAGAAATCCGCACCCGGAACGCAGACACAAGGTGCACAGGGTGCTGGATATTAGAGAAACGGAAAAGCAAAATCTGTGGGCAGGTACCCACAACTGGCACCCCTGAGACAAAAGAAAAGCGAGTGCTTTCTGCAAGTCTTAAAGATACAGGGACTCCATAGCTGGATGAAGTTGTCCCAGTAGCTGGGAATACCGGGGAAACCTAGGTGCCCTAAACGGATGCAGTGCAGCTCTGAAGCCCCTCACAGGACTAGGCAGCCTGCCAGACATTCCTCCAACTGGCGCAGACCCCGACACACGGGCCCAGTAGCAGGAGAGCAGGAGCACGCACCGGGGGCGGAAGTGCTAGAAGGAACCAAGAGCAGATCCGTGCACCACAGGTCTAGCCCGCAGCGGCGTGACCGAACACCCTGGGCGCAGCTAATGCACACCGGCGGCAGTGAACCCAGAGCCCGGTACAAGCCTGCGCGGAAAAGCCCTGCACACACCGGCAGTGGAGCCAGAGGGAGCAGGCGCACTCCCAGGAGCTGACAGGAATCACAGCCCAATGCACAGTCACCCGTGCCAGACCCAAAGGCTGCTGCAGCCACACAGCTGCCGGCGGGGTCACCACTAGCATGGAGGAGCGCACCTGGCGTCCCTGTCACTCCCCACGGGGCTCCGCGCTGCTCTGACGGACACCACACCCACAGCAGGTTAGGGGAAAAACCCGGTGGCTGCTCCAGGAGAGTGAGTAACCGTCACAGGCAGCGGAGAAGGGCAAAGCACCCAGCAAGCATGAAAGGACTTTCTTCTCCAAGCTGACACACCCACAACCTGCCTACAGTCACCACTATCACCATGAAAAGGCAAAAAAATTTAGTCCAATCCAATAGAGTTCAAACAACACCTGAGAAAGGATCTGTAGAGACAGACCTAGCCAGTCTCCCTGAAAAAGAATTCAAAATAAAAATCATAAACATGCTGACAGAGCTGCAGAGAAATATGCAAGAGCTAAGGGATGAAGTCCGGAGGGACATTACAGACGTCCAGAGGGAGATTACAGAAGTGAAACAAACTCTGCAAGGATTGATAAGCAGAATGGAAAAGATGCAAGAGGCCATTGATGGAATAGAAACCATAGAACAGGAATGCATAGAAGCTGATGCAGAGAGAGATGAAAGGATCTCCAGGAATGAAACAATATTAAAAGAACTGTGTGACCAATCCAAAAGGAACAATATCTGCATTATAGGGGTACCAGAGGAAGAAGAGAGAGAAAAAGGGATAGAAAGTGTCTTTGAAGAAATAATTGCTCAGAACTTCCCCAAACTGGGGGAGGAAATAGTTGCTCAGACTATGGAGGCACATAGAACTCCCGAGAGATGGGATCCAAAGAGGTCAACATCAAACACATAATAATTAAAATGGCAAAGATCAAGGACAGGGACAGAGTATTAAATGCAGCCAGAGAGAGTAAAAAGGTCACCTACAAAGGAAAACCCATCAGGCTATCACCAGACTTCTCAACAGAAACTTTACAGGCCAGAAGAGAATGGAATGATATATTTAATGCAATGAAACAGAAGGGCTTTGAACCAAGGATACTGTATCCAGTACAATTATCATTTAAATATGAATGAGGGATTAAACAATTCCCAGACAAGCAGAAGTTGAGGGAATTTGCCTCCTACAAACCACCTCTACAGGGCATCCTACAGGGACTGCTCTAGATGGGAGCACTCCTAAAAAGAGCACAGAACAAAACACCCAACATATGAAGAATGGAGGAGGAGGAAAAAGGAGGGAAAGAAATAATCATCAGACTGTGTTTATAACAGCTCAATAAGCAAGTGAGGTCAGACAGTAAGGTAGTAAACAAGCTAACCTTGAACCTTTGGGAACCACAAATCTAAAGCCTGCAATGGCAATAAGTACATATCTCTCAATAATCACCCTAAATGTAAATGGACTGAATGCACCAATGAAAAGACACAAAGTAACACAATGGATAAAAAAGCAAGACCCATCTATATGCTGCTTACAAGAGACTCACCTCAAACCTAAAGACATGCACAGATTAAAAGTCAAGGGTTGGAGAAAGATATTTCATGCAAACAACAGAGAGAAAAAAGCAGGTGTTGCAGTACTAGTATCAGACAAAATAGACTTCAAAACAAAGAAAGTAACAAGAGATAAAGAAGGACATTACATAAAGATAAAGGGCTCAGTCCAACAAGAGGATATAACCATTATAAACATATATGCACCCAATACAGGTGCACCAATGTATGTGAAACAAATACTAACAGAATTAAAGGAGGAAACAGAATGCAATGCATTCATTTTGGGAGACTTTAACACACCACTCACCCCAAAGGACAGATCCAAGAGAGAAAATAAGTAAGGACATAGAGGCACTGAACAACACGCTAGAACAGATGGACCTAATAGACATCTATAGAACTCTACATCCAAAAGCAACAGGATACACATTCTTCTCAAGTGCATATGGAACATTCTCCAGAATAGACCACATACTAG